GTTTGGCAATTGGTCAGCGTTTAGCTAACCATAAATATTTCCAGGTGAAATGTTTAACATTTTCTTGGCAGAGAAGTATGGTAGGTGTGTGCATATATTTTTATTTCGTAGTGACATTGGAGGTAGACCTCTATTTTCCTAAGGGGGGAATATATAAATTCTGTAGCATTATTGCTACAATATTGCTAATTTAATCATGGTTTTTGTGCGTCATATATATTGGAAACAATTGACGTGTACATCGAAATCGAAGGTACTGCAGTTAACCAACTGCATTTAAGCCGAATGATTATAATTCTTAAGTTGACTATATTCTATAAGGGCCTAAGTCATGATCCGTAAGCAAAATTCATTAATTTTTTTAGAAAGCCGTGAAAATTGGCTGATTTTCTAAGTACGTCTGAAGGACACCGATATACTTGACACTTTGACAACCCGCTTCTTAATTGCACTGCAAGCTCACGCAACTCATGTATTGGCGAGAGGGGGGCATATTTGAACACTCTTAGCCCTCATTTTTTTATAACAAAAATGCATTTGTTTATTGAAAAACATAAATGCTTGAAAATGAAAAAAAAAATCAGATGAACACTTATTAAAGCATAAAGAGACATAAAAACTAAATCTTATTTCATACTATTTATTTATGGAAATCGAAATTTATAGAATCGAAGCCAAAATTTAGAAACTTGATTTTTTGCTGGAGTTTACTGGGCAGGTCCAAAGGTTGCCTACGAGTGACATTTTATAGTATTTTTCTAATTTTTTTTTTTTTTTTTTGACATGATTGTTGGAATGCAAAAAAATGTTTAACGAAAGAAAACGATCACTGAATTTACAATGGTACTACGAAAACATGTCCACTCATCTACATTTTTCGAAAACTGAAAATGCTAGCCAAAGTTTTTTACGCTACTAGAGAACAAAATTGCAATATTTAAAAAAACGCAATAATTTAAATTAATTTACATTGAATTGGACGAATATATATATATATATATATATATATGTGAGCTATATCTAAATCTGAACCGATTTTCAATTGTTAAAATTAACACACATCAATATAGACTTATTTCAGTACGTTATGCCAAATATCGTGCAAATCTAGGGATACTTAGGGACTTTGGTACACCATTTACATTAAATCGGACTAAAATATATAAGGGAGCTATATCAAAATGTAAACCAATTTTTTCCAATGTCAATAGGGTTCGTCCTTGGGTCAAATAAATGAGCTGTGCTAAATTTCATCCAATTCGGATCATAAATGCAATCTGTACTTTCTTTACAATTTAACATCAACAGACGGACAGACACTCACTCTGAAAGTGATTTTATGCATATTCTCAAAAGGAACTGTGGGTATATCTCCTTTCCTTTTGCCTGTTACAACCATGTGCACAAATACATAACACCCTGTACCACAGTGGTATAAAAATTGGTTGCGGGTCGGAATAATTTTAAACCCAGTTTTTATGAGCGCTGTTGAAATATTCCATGAATAAATCAGTGATTTCTCGAATCAAACTCGGGTTTATGCAACTAGATCAGTTCTGACAGTTTATTACGGGGGAAGGCTCCTCTTCGTACCAATCAACAACTTGTCAATAACACTGTGCTACAAAATAAGAAAAAATATTTTTTCAGGGGTTCTAATATACCAATTCTGTTTAGTTGGAGTCCCTGGATCACGAAAATACCTTTGGTTTTTCTGGGTCACTTCGAAAATTAATTTTATAACGGTAAATATAGAGAAAAACGTGGTTTCGTGGATTTTCCATTTTAAACTTGAATAACATATTTACTTTATAACGGATTTATACTATTCTTTTTTTCTTTAGAAGAGTACAATTTCTCCTTTCAAACAAGATATATATTTGGTAAATCGGTTGAGTATTGGCTGAGTTACAGCAGTTGAATTGTGAAAAAATACGCATAAAATGACAAAATTTATTTTTCTTCGAACTGTACGATGAAATTATGATATGAAGCCATATAAGTTTTATTATATTACGGGGAAGAAAATTAAATTAGCTTTCGAAAATGATAAAAATCAAAAAAATCGGTTAAAAAATTGATGACTTATACACATTTTTGTATTGATTCTATGCATATTCTCTAAAGGAAATATGGCTCTGTATCGTTTCCTGTTACAAACCGTTATGTTTGTAACAGGCAAAGGAAACGAGATAGACCCATAGTTCCTTTAGAGAATATGCTTAGAATCAATACAAAAATGTGTATAAATCATCCATTTTTGAACCGATTTTTTTGATTTTTTATCATTTTCGAAAGCTAATTTAATTTTCTTCCCCGCAATATAATAAAACTTATATGGCTTGATATCATAATTTCATCGTACAGTCCGAAGAAAAATAAATTTTGTCATTTTATGCGTATTTTTTCACAATTCAACCGCTGTAACTCAGCCAATACTCTACCGATTTACCAAATATATATCTTGCTTGAAAGGAAAAATTGTACTCTTCGAAAGAAAAAAAGAATAATATAAATCCGTTATAAAGTAAGTAAGTTATTCAAGTTTCAAATGGAAAATCCATGAAACCACGGTTTTCTCTATATTTACCGTTATAAAATTAATTTTCGAAGTGACCCAGAAAAACCAAAGGTATTTTCGTGATCCAGGGACTCCAACTAAACAGAATTGGTACATTAGAACGCCTGAAAAATTTTCGTGTCGCACAGTGTAATGGGCATTTTTTTATGGTGTTCGATCTACTTTCAAACTTTAAGAAGTAATGGATCGGAGTATTTATACAAATGTATAACAATAATCTCAAATATACATTGCGGGATTCAAAAATGTAGGTTTTATAATGGCCAGAACAATAATCAGACCAGAAACTCTTTGCAGTATCATATATAGCACAATAAAAAAAACAATTTCACAAACAAACAGAAATATGCGAAGGATAGTATACCCAAGGATCAAATTGAGCAATTTATTGATTCAATGTGTCGTAGGTATGCCGCCGTAATAAAAAATAATGTCTAAACTGTCGATTACTAGCAAAATTTGCCAGTTTATATGAACAAATCAAAAAGTTGCTTTAGATGCAAAAATTGGATCAATTTAGTTTTCAATAGAATATTTTTTTATTTCAAAATACATTTTGCGTTCATATTTTTATGAGTGAATTAGTTATATATTTATTTTCAAAAAAAAAACAGTTCATTTATTCAGTTTTTCTTTAGATTTGGCCACCAGTGTAAGTACGAATTTCCAAAACTTCCTACATTGCCCAATTTCAGGATTCCAGCTTTATCAGTTTAGTACCATTTAGTGCATATACATACAAATTTCCACAACTACCGGCATCACACGATCCAATATCAAATCGTATTTCCCAATTTCTAAATTTAGTACCATTTGGTACACATTAGTATGAAAATTCAAAATTTCATACATACTCTCATACTGCACCCAAACAGAAATCTTAATTTAAAATTTCACGATTGTAGCTATGTATATCGGATCATCTATATACAAATTGTATCAAATTTATCAATATAGCACTAATTAATATAAACTTCTATAAATACCTACATCAACATTCCAATAGAAATCATATTTCCCAATTGCCAATTCGATTCGTTCACTTAATGCAATTAGTATAAAATTTAACACCATATAGTACCCATAAGTACGAATATGCAAAATTATATGCATACTCTAATCCAACCCTCTAGCATTAATCTTACTTCCAAATTTCAGGATTCCAGTCTATCGGATCACCCTAAATAAAATTGCAACAAATTTAGTACTCTCCTACACCGCAACAGCGATCTTAACTCCAAATTTCAAGATTTCACTTCTATCGCTTCACCCAAAATTGAAATTGTGCACCATTTAGTACTTTTCGTACACTTAAGTATAAATTTCCAAAACTACCTACATATAGCAATCCTACACTTCGCCGGTAATGTTAAATTTCGTACATTTTGAATATGGAAGGACGTGTCACCAAATTTAAATTGTATCAAATTTAGTACTGCTTGCAACTTTTCCTATACATGAATACACACTAATAAAATATCGACCCTACATCGCAACCTTAATTCGCATTCCAAATTTCAAGTTATGAAATTGTAACAATTTAGTACATTGTATTACATTTCGTACAATTATAGTTCGAATTTTCAAATAACCTTGGGTGTATCTATTCCACCCTCATTCCAAACGTAGGAGTTTTAGCTCTACCGGTTCGATAAATGCAAATGGTACCAAATTTAGCGACGTTTTAGTACGCATTTTGAAAAACTCAGCCTTTTTTGACACCTTTGGACTAAGAGCGACCCTCACCCCAAACTTTAAGGTCCTAGCTTCGGGCGTTTCGTCTGGGCGTTGATGAATCGTTAAGTCGGTCAATTATTAGTATAGATTGAAACACATATAACTCTGTATTGTTTCTCCCTCGTAGTTATATGATCTACAAAACTGCTATATTCCGTAAATCTTTTTTGTTTTGGTTGGAATATAAAAAAAATGTTAAGGAACTTTGGACTACGAATGAAAAATTACCATATCCGCGAATTATTGATCCGCCATAAACCCCATTAAATGTTACATGCTTTACCCAATAACAATGACATTTGACATTCTAACATTACAATTATTTGAATAAACTTAGAAAATTACATTTTCGGAGTTCGTTTTCCACATTTTTTCGCTAGAATTTTTCCTCCACTCAATTCCGTTAACAGGTGTGAATGTTAATATTTTTTGTGCTGTGTTGAGAATTTCCAAAGTGTAAAATAACAAAAATTGTAATCGAGTTTACAAATTTCACAGCTGGACGGATAGATATTAGTTTAACATGTTGCCATTGGAATGAATGTACGGATGGATGATGGAATGACAATGTGCCATGAATGTCATCCAAGTGACATTCGCCAGCCATCATCAGCAGAGTTTTTTTTCGATTGTAGTTTTCATTTTCGTTTATATCGTATCGATTCGTGTTCTTGGTACTCACCTGCAACAACAGTCTTTCGTCGGCCCAAACAGCCGCTTGTTTCCAATCAATTTTCGACTCGAATGGCAATACCCAGTCATTGGACAACAGTACAGGAATGCAGCCGGCCTGAATGGCTTCGAGAAATCTAATTAAAGTAGAAGCGAAGAGGGAAGAGAAAGAAACGTAAAAAAGGAACAGCATAAGTTTAAAACTTTTACAACATAAAGTCGAAGAAGAAGAAAAACGTTTATTGGGTCAAATGGGCTGAACACACCAACACACACACACAGAGAATGGGATTTCAATGCATTTTTAATGCGCTGTCAAGCCAATACAGTGTGCCTTCGTAGTGAACTTTGATGTGCATTCACATACATACATATGTTTCCGATTCCAAGTGAATCGTAATTCAAACGATACGGTGACCCGCTGTGATAAGGTCAGACATATTGGCAGATTTTAAATGCTTCTGCTCCACCTACTTCTTATTTGGCTTAATTCGAGTAAGACAAAAGCAAGTCATTCATCAAACTCACGAACGAACGCACGCACACACACATTTATTGGCTTGGGCACAGGGCGCTCTCATCGCATGGTCAATGGTGGTCAAAGGTCGCATGTAAATCAAATGGAGGCTGTGTAATTGGCCGCATACATACCTAAAGGAACCCAAACGTCTCCCCCGAGGCACCAAACAAAATGTTGAGTTCAGAAGCAGCGTTTCATAGTCGTATCTGAAATTAAAGGAGAAGAAGAAGACGAATAATGTCAGCATCATTAATTGATATACGACGCAGCATAAATTGCTGTAAAAATCTCAGTTTAAATCAATTATGAGTTATTAGTCGTTGCAAGTTAATTCAATGAATTGGCAATTTGCATAAATTTTATTAATGAGCAAATGGAAAAACACACAACAACAAAGAATGTATGAATTAAATCGAATAAATATTGCATTCCATTGATTGAGTAATTATTTATTTTACAAATGGAGATGAAAAGATTTAAAATAATCCTTAAAAAATTATTAAAACAAAACAACTTTGAGATGAAAGGTAGAAAAAGAGAAAACTTTTGACCTCCTAGTACTATATTCGGTTTGCAAGGATGTGAAATTTATTTAAAATCCACAGTAACTCTACATGCACCAACTGATTAGTACAAATTGGCTAGAGGAATGCAACTTCAACATCCTGATATGTGCCAGTGTGAAAGAGTGCTGTGTGAAAGACTGAAGCCAATGGTCAAAAATATAATTGGATCTCAATCAATGTAGCTTCAGCCCTGTCAATTCCACCATTGACCACCATTTTCACTCTGCGTCAAATCCTGGAAAAGACCCACGGAAAACACATCGACACATTCCACCTATTCGTCGACTATAAAACGGCATTCGACAGCCCTATATGTTCAGATGCATTTAAATCACAGTCGGGCGAAGCACAGCACGCGTGCACTCTCGCGAGAGTAAGTATCACTATTCTCTCACACACATTCAACTGAACCAATTGAAAAACCATTGACACACACACATAGACAAGTGCGTGAGAACAGAATTACGCTCTGCCCGCGCCTGGTTTAAATCCATGCTTGCCTTCGGCATTTCTGCAAAATTAATACGGCTATTCAGAATAACTTTAACTGGCACAAGGTCAGCTGTTAAAGCCGGATAGGACCTCTCGAAGGCCTTCAATACCGAACGAGGATTCAGACAAGGTGATAGTTTGTCGTGTGATCTTTTTAACATCCTGCTGAAAAGGTCATACGAGAGGCAAAGGTGAACTGAAATGACTCTCTGTACACCAAACAACACATGTTACTCGCCTACGCCAATTACATCGACATTATGGGTCGAACATTGCGAGTGGTAACAGCCACATTTGACAAATTGAGGAGGAGTCTGCCAATGTGGGAATAAAGATGCAAGACGTCCAGTAAACTTTGTTCAACTGTGGAACTTGAAAACTACAACATCGGAGTAGTCAAAGATGATATATACATCGGAACCGCCGTAAATAAATTATAACTAATGACATCAGTTTTGAAAGATGATCCTATGGTCTAAGTAAGCGTTTTAGAAATAATGCAACCTCTCGTCAGACCAAATTCAGAAGCATGGGTACTTGCGCAAGCGTGCTGCAGCGACTACGGTGGCTGAGCCATTTTGTGCGAATTGATGAGGATGCCCCAGCTCAAAAGGCATATAAAAGCAAACCTACTGATGGTTCATGCAGAAGGGAAAGGCCACGAATTCGATGGAAAGACAAAGTGGAGGATGAGATAGCAAAGCATGGTCCTTAAATTGGAAAAACTGCGCACAAGATCGATGCGCCTGGAAAGTTCGGCTTATGGAACACATGTTTTGTGTCGAACCAGCTAAGTAATTATTTTTATTTTGGATAGGAAATATTCATGCAACAAACGATCAATACATCGGATTGACTAGAATTTGATATTTTGAGTTATCATTGGACGCAAATTTTCCTACAACATTTTCTTCAATATCTGTCCCCATTTTGGAATATCCCGCATACAATAGTTCCGCCATATTTTTTGATATGTTGTAAGTCTTAGGCACATTTTCCAACCGGTTTTGCTATAATTAGGCGTTTCAGATTTTTTTTCAGAAATTTGACGCAGAATATTTAAATTTTTGGAAAAAAAGTACTGGGACATTTCTATAAAAATTGCATATAATATATTCTGTACATATATTATATACCAATTTCTCTTGTTCAGTGACTTTTACTAAAATTTGATGCTTCTAAAACGACATTTGGTGGGTAAAAATTGGCGCAAACTCAGAATAAGATCGGTTTTAACCCTTAAATGAGTTTACATATTTTTAAGATTTTTTGCGTTTAGGCTGATTTCTGAGTATTGGTCTATTTTGAGACTTATACTAAAACTTTATTGAGAACATTTGTAGAATATTCTCCTGTAAGCCCGTTTAAATGTGTGCACGGATTTCACGGTCTAATTACTGTTCAAACGATAAATACTCTTTCTTATGCACCCTTCGTTGTTGCCCAAAATCGCCACATTACAAGTTTTACCAAAAAAGAACATCTATTTGCTTCGAAGTACTTCTGCCAAAGACAACTTTTGTAGAGTTGCCTCGTCTTCGAACTCTTACATGATCAAGACATGTATTAAACCAGTGAGCGGAGCAGTGTAGTCGAAAGGGGCCGACCATATGATACCCTACTCAACTGCCATTGAACTTTACCATTCTTATAAAGACAATGGCTATTTTCCTAATATATATCAAATGAAAAAATAACAAGAAATATCCTTACATTTTCATACGAAAAATACCATCATAACATTTATACCCAATTAGAGTCCGAACATATTCCAAGACGATGCCATAATAACAATTGCATTAAAATAAATATGTATGTATGTACGAGTATTACATAAATATCCATTATAACAACATATAAAGCCCATATCAAAATATATTCATTTCCATTCGCATACAATGTAAATGTTTGTGCTTTTCTGGACGAATGACAAAACAACACACACATACACACAATCATAAAATATGAAATAAATTTCACAGAATCACAACAATAGCCACAAAGTAAACAGTGATTTGAAATGAATAACGAAAGTGTATAGAAATGCCAGATCAGAACATCAGTGGCGAGATAGAAATGTTGTTGTCCTAAATTTGCTCGAAGGTCGTATTTGGTGTTACCAGAGTATCAAGTGGTATGGATTTGCCCAGAGCTAATGTTTTCCTCATGGTGGTACTACAAGCATGGAGTTTACATAAAAACTATCATGATATTCATAGAAAGCTTGGTGCCTGCATCAATATCCCTAGAAAATCCTGTGTCAATTATTTTTCTTCTTCTCATAACTCCACTAGCCAATGTTCCATGGAACTGTAAAACAAAATACTACTCTTAATTCTCTTTGTAATTTTCCATTTTTGGCCAAATATCCCAAGAAATTATTGTAACAGCTCAGATCCGCCATCACCCGCGCCCGCTACGGCAAGGAAAATAAAAATCTTTATTTTTTTATCGCTTCAAATCTACAACAAAGACAAAGTCGAAGAAATAATGGCAGGCATTCAATGATACTCAATGGTCGTTGGCGTTGTCAGTCGCATTGTCGTTGGTCGCGTTGACGAAAGTACTTTGGCTGTAACCGCTACCAGAAAGTGAGAAGAAGAAGACGACGGCGTCGGGGAGGAAGGCAAGTGAGAGACGAAGGCGAACAAATGAATGAATGAGACACTCGCATTACAAGCTCTCGTACTTAAATGGAATTAGTTTTATCGCTGGCAAATGAAAGCGAAACGTAAATGAAAATGTGACAGCAGTAAATGGAACTGGGAAAGGCGAGAGGGAAGGTGGACAGCATTCAACTGAATTGAAGAAAAAACAGAAAAACACTCACGCACGCATACACACATATACTAAAAACCGGTAGAAATAAAAAAGCGGAACGCGGAATAGTTTCGCTTTATGTTGCATTTAGTGGCACTCGAGGAAGTGGCAAGGAAATGGCCGGAAGTGGCTGTGGATGGTTGACAATTGTTGAAAGGAATATGGGTAAGCATTGAGGAGAGAAACAACATCAACATCCACATCAACAACAAAAACAAAAACAAAAGATCTATTTAATATAATGACATCCCATAGATGGAAGAAATGATCATATGTGTGTAATCCTGAATGTGTGTGTGTGTGCGTGGGTGGGTTTCTTGTTAGGAAGTAGCTTTTAATATCTCATGAAAATTGAATCTTCAAGGATTATAAAAAGAAAAATCAAAACGAAACAAAAAATTTTGAAAAGAAAAAATCGCCGACACGAAGGAAAACAAACAAAACCAACCAGCCAGCCATTCAGCCAATAAGCAGCGAAAGTGATTTAACCAATTTCAACATTTATTTGCTTCTATTTAGTTTTGGACAAGTATCACTCAGATTCGAATGAATGATGAAAATTAAACAGAATTGCAAAAAAAATTAATGGAAATAATTCGCTTTCAATATCAACCAACCATCAAGAGATTATTTTTTCTTAAATATTGCTTTTAAAATCAAAAGATATTTTTTTTATGGATGGAAAACGATTGAGATGATTTTATTGGAAAGAAGCTATACGAAATATATTTAATAAGGGAAGTATTTCTTCTTTCAGGGCATTTTCATACTAAATTATACACGCGTACAGGCCCGGGGCCAAGCGTTCACAAAAATGTTTTTTTTATCTCAAGCCTAATTTCGCGTTCTTCCCTGACAAAAATACGGATCCGATAGCCATTATTTGACGCCTTACAAAAGTGGTATTTCTAACAAAAATACATGTCAAATGTAATTATTAGATTACACTGTGTAATACAAAAACAGTGAGCGGAGCAGTATAGTCGGACGGGGCCGACCATATGATTCCACGAGAATATAACTTTCCCTGGTTCTATATTCTGAGCTTGCGCAATATAATATTTAGTACAGCCCTTCTAATTACTTGTCCAGATTTCCTTCACAGAGAGTTGTGTTGTGATGGATTCGAAAAACGCAAAAAAATTATGTTTTCGGTCCACTTCATTCCAATATTATTATATGATCATCATCGAAAATTATAGGCGTTGTCCTTGACCATTGGTATCAATTTAAAGATCAACCACTCCTCTTGGATATACTATCGACTTCGACAAATTTTGTCATATTTCACACAAAAGTGAGGGCCCATTTGACCCGCTAAATATTGG